CACTCCCGATAGAGCAACCCCCGAGTACGAAGCTTCGGTGTTATTTACAAAGTGTCGGAGGAGGATTACGATCCTCTAAAAGGATGGGTGAATCTGCCCAAGGTAGACCTCATACCTTTGCAGAAGTCGAGGACTATTGGGTCCACCGGGGCGAGCGTGAAGGGTTAAGTGTAAACACTTAAGTACCCTTCCACGTGAGTAGTGATATCATCGTTGGGTCGGAGGATGAACCTCCTCAACCTCCCGGTTACAATCTGTCCGGACTGTAGGTAGTGTTTCCTCAGTGATGGAGCATATGTACCTCCATGCTCCCTTGCCTCAGTCCTGTTGACAGGAGGCCTTCTCGATATTGAAGTTGCTCCCGATAGAGCAACCCCCGAGTACGAAGCTCTTCAAGGGGGCTCCTGGGCAATGGCAGATATAGGATTTTGGGTTCGTAGGTGCTTAACATTTTTGACATAAAGTACTACTAATCACATTACATAAGTACACAAATATTTGAATACGATGATAAAAAAATTAATGCAAAAACTCATAATTTTAATATTAGACGCTGCGAAATTGTAATGGATAAGACAAGTAACGTGAAATAAAATGGCGGGTTTTACCATTCTAGAGGGCCACTTCGTCTTCAAACGAACTTTTGGAGTCCTTTCTAAGTATATTTTTATTTACTTTATTTGTTATAGTGAATTAAATGAAGTTAATTTTTTTTTTTAAAAAGGTAAAAGAATGAAAAAATAAGTAGTATTGGATCAAGACAATGGCTAGTGAAAGAACAAAAAAGTAGACCTAATTGAATGGGGCAAAAAAAATTAACTTGATAACATAAGGAAAATGCCTCCTAAAAAAGACCTATTATAAGTGAGGTTCAAACTCTCACGACCCAAAATTCTTAGCTTTCTAGCACCTTCTCTAGACCAAAGCACCCATCAAACTTTTTGTTACCTAGGTGCTAACTGACTTATTATATTTATTTTGTTAAATTTTTAATATAATACAAAAATTCTTTGCCAAATTCAATGGGTGCTTAAGCCCCCAAATTTGATATGTACATCTGCCACTGTTCTTGGGTCACCTCAGGGATGGTTACCTCGGTGTCCGCGGCCAGGTTAGAAGATGAAGGAGCAGTTTGCCGAGGCACGGATTTGGAAGTTTTTGCCATCGAGATCTGGAAAATATGAAGGTATGAAGAAAAGATATAAAGATTTAAAGATGGGATGCAAATATGAATATCTGAGTTAAAGATTAAAAAAAATGCATGAAGACTAAGGATGAAGATATGAATGTCTAAAAAGCAATGTATGAATATTTGAAGGAGGTGAAGGCAAATAGAGAATTCGAGGGTAAATCAAAGAGTTCTGGAATCGAAAAGTGGGAAAGTGAAGGAGAGTCGGAGTTTTTATAGGGAGAGAACAATCAATACAGGATGTTTCACATTCGAGAACAGTAAACCAGCGGCTGACACGTGCTCGAAGTTATAATGACGTGACTGATGGGACGTTCTGTTGACCCGACAGCTCGGTCATAACATACAAAAGAAGGAATAGGGATTTGCTTTTCGTTTTCCGTCGATTCGATAAATCTACCCCCCGGAAAATGAGGGGACTATCTATATACGGGTAAAATCGGGGGCAATGTCTATCCCCATTCCCCTGTGAGAGAACGAAGAGGAGAACACGGACCCTCGACATTATTATCGGGGACAGAGACCCGTCGCGATCCGGGAAGGATGAACGATATGTCCAACATCGGACGTGGTAAAGCGACGCATCCCGGACCGAGTATGATTTCTAGACCTCGGGAGATGCGTTAGACGGTTATGCATGACTGATAGAGGGCTGCAATGTTCGCCCTCAACCAGATATCACGGCACGAATCTCGCTTCGTATCGATTGTGGATCAACAATTATCGGGAAAAGAAGATTTTTACCTTTTTTAGACTTCTACTAGGATTGAAACTCTCCTACTATATAAAAGAGAGTTTTTTCATTTCTTCTGACATAATATAACATGCATTCAAAGGCAATAAAAGTTTATTTTTATTCTCTAAGCTACTATTAAGAATTTTGCTCACTTGTATTGTTCTTCATTCATAACTGGTTCAAATCGAGGGCCCAATCGAGGGCGAGGTTGTTTTTCAATCTAAGATCAGGCTTGGCCATAACGTCGCGATTGGTTTGATAATTTATTTCGTCTTTAATTTATTTATATGTAGTTCTTAATCATTTGTGTTTAATTAAACCACATATCCTTTAAACCACATAAAAATTTAATTGTTACATAATTTTAGGGTAAACACTTTTAATGAATGTTTACCTTGAATCTGACATTTTCCATAGTGATGCCACATATATAAGCAAAAAATTTGAATTCCCCCTATATTATCCAATTGGTTATATATCATCTGTAATATTTTGAATTTGTTCTTAACAATAAAAATACCCAAATATATACCTTGAGCAATAAAAAAGGTTCGATTACACCCTTCTATGTGACTTCCAAATCCGACAAAAAAAATCATGGAGGAAAACTGGTAGTTGTAGAGTCACATTTAAGACGAAAGATAATGGTGGAGGTATCGCTTGAGAAAAGCATGTCTAAGAAATTAAGCAAAATGACCCCCTAACTTCGGGAGAATGATTGCTCTTCTATTTTTTGAGTGTGAAAGCGACAGATACCAAGGGTTAAATGTAAGGGCATGTTTGGAAGGCCACTTTGTAATTGCCTTTGAATGTAACCGGATGTAATTAGATAATTTGCATTGAGGGAAGCAATTAACTCTCCAATTCGTTGGGGGTGGGGTGGGGTGGGGAGGATGCAAAGAATTAGTGGTGGTTACACGATATACTTATGGAATGACTTCTTAAATGATTTCTTTTCTTATTTTTGATATTTCTTGTTGGGAAAAGGTCCAAAATTGCCCCTCTACTGTGGTATATTATTTACTTCTGCCATCCATTATACTTTTCGTCCAAATCTATCCCTACCGTTAACAAAGTTTGTAAAATTGTCCCTAACCCTAACGTCTCTCTACTGTGGCAGTTGATCCCTCTAATATTTTGTCCATATCAGCAGCCAAGTCAGCAGGTCCCACCAAATAAAATGCCAAGGTGGAGTCCATATCATCACTTTTAATAATATCTTGGTTATAGCATTTTTTTTGACAATAACAAGAGACAGTAGTATCGCTGAAAATTTGTAAGTCACCGGAGATTTTCAGATTTCAGATTTGCTTGCAAAAGAAACATAAGAATGAAATGATGACAAAATATGGTCGCTGACGAATTGTTCACCACCGGGCCTGGCCGGTGGTGGTGTAGATCTGAAATTCGGAGAAATTTTTAGTATAGATCTGCCGGATTTATATACTTCCAATGAACAAAATCAAACCACATCGCAAAGGACGACCATTTTCTTTTATTTCCGGCAAGGTAACTCTAGTGAAAGCGTGGTGACAGTCACCAGATTCTGGCAGCATGGCCGGATGAACGAAAATAAAGTGGAAGAGCGGTTGAGCGTATGAAAGATGGACGAGCACCTGGTATGAAGATCCGCCGGCCAGCCGATGACCAAATCTGGCGACGACAATCACTGACAGAGAAGAGGAAGAAGCGCGCCGCCCCTTTGTTCTCTCAAAGTAGTTATTGCATTTATTAAATTAGAAAATTTACCGTAGGGTTAGAGGCAATTTTCCTTTTTTCTTTTGCTTTTCTCTTTCTTCTTTTCTCAACATCACTTCTTCTACTTCTCTAATGCCATAGCCACTGTTATTAATTTCCTTCCTCTCCGGCGAGCTTGTCGAAAATAATCTTTATTGCTTTCACTTTTCTTTCCTAAAAATTCAGAACTCAAGAGAAACTTGGTTGCATAAAATCATGAAGGCGGGGGAAGAAAAAGAAAACTCACTCCGCCGACCGCTACACCTCGCCGAAAAACTCTCATCAACAGAAGGACTTCAATGGTGGTAAAGTAAATACGAACCAGCCAACAAGAAAAAGAACAAAAAGAAGATTAATTCATCTTTTCAGAATGAGACTTTTCAACCAATTAATACCTGAGATTTTCTAAAATCTGACCGGATTAAACACTCTTAGTCTCAATTTTCCACGAAATAAGGTGAAGAATAAAGCTGGCGAGGGGATTAATTAATAGTTAGAAAACAAAATTACTGATGAAAGGCGTAGGTGAACTGGGTTTATCGTGGGGAGAGGTTAGAGGTAGGTAGGGCAGGGGATCTTTTCCTTTTTATTTTGTTTTTTTAATCTTTTTCTAATTTTCATAAAGAAACATAATTTATTTGAGGATTAAATTACTTCTAATGCTGACATGACAATATATTTGAGGACCTACTGACTTGGCTGCTGACATGGACAAAATATTAGAGGGGTTAGCTGCCACAGTGGAGGGACGTTAGGGTTAGGGGCAATTTTACAAACTTTGTTAAAGGTAGGGATACATATGGACGAAAAGTATAACGGATGCCAAAAACAAACAATATACCATAGTAGAGGGACAATTTTGGACCTCTTCCCCTTCTTGTATACACATATATTTGTCGCATATTAAAAAATATTTATAAGTTTGTCTAAAAGAATTATTTATTTTTTATAATTAATTTTTTATTTAAAATAAAGAATATCAAACGATATAAATTACTATAATGTTTCATTCAATCATGACACTAAGAATTATATTATAATTAACTTATAGCAAATAAATAAATTGTTGTAATTACTATACTAACTAGAATATATAATTAAACACCTTCATAATTACACGTGATTTACAAACGGATCAATGGCGGAAGCAAGGCTTTTGGTAGGGGGTCAAAAAAGGATTAAGTTAAAAAAATTAATGAGATTGTAGTTCGTAGGAATTGAACCAATGACCTTTTGAAATCATTGACCACTAAACCTTTTGGAATGTATCGATAGGAAAACATAATATATAAAAGTAAAAATCAAATTTTGCCTATTACGTCCTTACGCCCCCTAAATCACAAATGCTAGAGATCCATTAGAAGTTTAGATCGATTTCATTATAATTTTTGTGAGAACTCTAGATTTATATTTTTTTTTTAAAAAAAGACTCGTGGAGAACTCGGTGAAGTAAGACAGTAAACTGGAGATATTTTGGAATCCTCAAAGTAATAGTATCATATATCCATTTCAGATAGCGACCAAAAAAGAACCGTCAGAATCACTCGGCAAAAACTCTGCGGTATGAAGCCTGAATATATTCAATTTAATGTTTTTTGCCTCATTATGTATATAGATATGTTTTCCGAATTCATTATCTCATGAAAATGCGATTAATATTTATGTTTTTTTTTTTAAATTCAATTCCATCCAATCAATCGAAAATTCACTCCATTTGACCTCTTCATTATTATCGCTCAGGTTATAATATATCTGATCTGATTTTAAATAAGTTGGTAATTTTCTTATTTTTTTGCGTGAATTACCACGTAGTAATTTGAATATTTGATTGATGCTTGATTGTTTTGCTGTTGTAATGGAAAGGGTTTTTTCTTTTTCTTTTTTTGGAATAGTAAGGACTTAGAATTTTGCTTTCTTTTAATTAGTTAAGTTAATCTTATTCTCTCTCTCTCTCTCTCTTCATGATGTTAATTGGTTTAATTTTTTTTGTTTATTCTTAGTTTTAACCATTTTGTTCGTGTCTTTTAATGGATTTTGATGTCTTATTATATGGTATCTTATCTGGATTTCAGAATTTAGTACTTCTCCATCCTTTTTGCTTGAATTAGCTCGGAAAAGTTTGATGTTATGGTCTGAAACTAGCCGGTTGATTCCCTGCATTTTTTTCCCACTACGCAATGAAGAGGGGTTCCCTTTTTTTTACTCTGGATAACAGGGACTTTAAAACATTTTGCTCCAGGATTTAACAAGTTCAACCTTTGGATTTTTAACATTGAAACCATTGCACATTAGAAATAATGTTGTTTAACACTTAGTGTATATACATATATCGGGTCCAGTTGAACCCGTTGACTATATGCTATATTCATCACTGTTTTGTGCTCCTTTTTTGTTGGTTCAATTCATATCTGCCTATTGATGAAGTTAATTAGTGTCTAATAGTGTACTATGATTCAAGAGAGAGATGTATTTGGGGGGGGGGGGGGGGGTCCCCTTTTGGATCTCTTTCTTTAATTTTGTAGGTTGAGTTTTTTGTTTCCTTCCTATCTTTGGTAAAAATATGTTTTATGCATTTTAGGTTGTTACTAGATTGATGAAAAAGAAGTCTAGTCCAGACTCCAGATGAATAATTTACCAGATGAATTACTCTTGGATATTTTGGGAAGGATTAAGAGAACCACTGATAGGAGTTCTGTATCCCTAACTTGCAAACGCTTCCACAAATTGGCTAATGGGCTGAGAACATCTATCCGCGTGGGATGTGGTTTACATCCTGCCTCTGATGCGTTAACTGCTCTATGCAACAGATTCTATAACTTGGAGAAAGTGGAAATTATCTACTCTGGTTGGATGTCCAAGTTAGGGAAGCAGTTGGATGATCACGGCCTTCTCATTCTTTCAAGTCATTGCCCTTCACTCAAAGACCTCATGTTGAGTTATTGTACTTTCATTACGGATGCTGGTCTGAGTTACTTGGCTTCATGCTCGAAACTTGCTTCCTTGAAGTTGAACTTTGCCCCCAGAATTACTGGTTGTGGCATCCTGTCTCTCGTTGTGGGCTGCAAAGGCCTCACTGTGCTTCACCTGATTCGGTGTCTTAATGTCAGTAGTATGGAGTGGCTAGAATATCTTGGAAACCATGAAATTCTTGAAGATCTTTGCATCAAAAATTGTAGGGTGATTGGAGAAGGTGATTTGATTAAGCTAGGGTCTACTTGGAGAAAATTGAAGAGACTGCAATTTGAGGTTGATGCCAACTATAGATACATGAAGCTTTATGACCGTTTGGCAGTTGATCGGTGGCAAAAGCAATGGATCCCATGTGAGAACATGCTTGAACTTAGCTTAGTGAACTGCGTTATCAGCCCTGGGAGAGGGCTTGCATGTGTTATAGGCAAGTGCAAGAATTTGGAAAAGATTCACTTAGACATGTGTGTTGGGGTGAGGGACTGTGACATAGTATGTTTGGCCCAGAAATCAAGCAACCTTCAATCAATCTCTCTCCGGGTTCCATCAGACTTCTCCCTTCCTCTTCTACAAAACAATCCGTTGCGGTTAACAGATGAAAGTCTAAAGGCAGTGGCGCAGAACTGCTCTCTGCTTGATACAGTTAGGTTGTCTTTCTCTGACGGGGAGTTCCCCTCATTTTCGTCCTTTACATTAAATGGAATACTAATGTTAATACAAATGTGTCCAATAAGAGAACTTGCTCTTGACCATGTGTATTCTTTTAATGATGTTGGAATGCAAGCTCTTTGTTCGGCACAATATCTCCAAATCTTGGAACTTGTGAGGTGCCAAGAGATCACAGATGAGGGCCTGCAGCTTGCTGGCCAAATTCCTCAATTGTGTATATTACGGCTGAGGAAGTGTTTGGGAGCGACTGATGATGGGTTAAAGCCTCTTGTCGGATCTTACAAGTTAGAGTTGTTGGTTGTGGAGGATTGTCCACAGATATCAGAAAGGGGTGTTCAAGGAGCTGCAAAGTCAGTCTCCTTCAAACAAGATTTGTCATGGATGTACTAAGTTTTCCCATTTGTAAATATTTTTCCAGATGTTGTACAGGTTAGGTTATTGTGTCTGTTCGACCTTTTGTACAGTCACTAGTTTCATTTTGTTCCATAACTATTCTGTAATCTGCATCACGAAGTTCGATTTGTCCACATGTTGCATAATAAATGTTAATCTGTGGTCTGTACCATTCCCTGTGAAGCAGCTTGTCACTACTTTCTACTATTATTTGTGTATCTTGTTGCATATTGAGGGTGCCCTACTTGTGCTCATCCTATAGCATGTTTGGTATGAAATTGATAATGGCAAGAGTTTCCAGAATGAGCATTAATGATGAAAGTTGCTTTCAGATGATTATCAACCTGTTTTTAGATTTTTCTTTTGATCAGTATCAACCTATTTTTGGATTAGTTGATTGCTAATAGATTCATTACATGGCTGGAAAAGAAAGGAAAGATAATATTAGATAAACAATTCATTCATTCAATCCCATCTTTTATATATACATGGTAAGAACAATGGATATATGGATGAAATATTTACATGATTTAACTAATTTTTCCCATTCAGTGTCCTCTTTACCCAACATTTTACTGCATAGATTCCAACTCCATCTAATGGCACTTGTTTCCCATTCATTTGGATGTGCCTTTTCGGTCAAAATGGTTTTTTGTTTTGACTAAATGAAGTTGTGCCTACAGAACTTGAGATTCCCCTTGCTAAAGCTGATTCTAAACACTGGACACCCCTGGATTATTCTAGGGAAATTGCTGTAGTGCAGAGGAAACCCCCACCCCCAACTTGTAAAACTGTCTTCTGGCTTTCAGGATGCTCTCCGCTCTTGTCAGTCTTTGTGTTCATCTTTCATTTGTATTCCGTTGTACCTGAAGTGCTGCTATGCAATCTAGGATAACAAACAGTTTTGCGCTGGTAAGGTAAGGGTATTCTTTGGCTGCCCGATATATATGATGAAGCAAGGAGAATGTCTTTTCTACTTTGTGTGTGAGTGGGGGTCCTTAAGCTTGATTGACTGATACTAAACTTGCAGATTTTGTGCCTCTGGTTTCAATGTTGGATCTTGCAAATTTTGTAGTGGTCTAAACCTTGGAATCGTTCTATTTTCTAGAATTGCTTGATTTCTCTTACAGTGTTATCAGTCATATAAATGCTTTGTGTTAAGGAGTCGTTCTTTGATGATTCCTTGATGCTCTTCTGGAAATAATAATGACGGGAAGGGGGATTGGAAAGCTTCTTTCGCCGCTGGCATAACACTACAAAAACAAAAAAAATAGCAACTGTGGTTTGGGTGCCTCTTTACTGCAAGAGTATATGTTGCTTGAAGATTTATGGTGTCTGTTTCTTTAGCATAAATGGTTAAATGAACTGGCTCATTTATAGTACAGTCAAACCTCTCTATAACAGCCTCGTTTGTTCTGGATATTTTTGGTTGTTATAGCAAAGTGCTATTACTGAGAACATATATTATAACACAACATGAAAGTTGGTTCCGAAAAATCTTGGCTTTTATAGCGAAGTTTTATTATATAGGGAAGTCTCGTTTGTTCCGGATATTTTTGGTTGTTATAGCGAAGTGCTATTACACAGAACATATATTATAACATAACATATGTTATGAAAGTTGGTTCCGAAATTTTTTAGCTTTAATAGCGAAGTGTTGTTATATAAGGATGCTGTTATAGAGAGGTCTGTAGTATAAAGAATGTCTGAAGTAACTATACTTCAATTTCCTTGAATTGGTGGTTAAGAATCATAAAGGTTTGCTCACTTGACTAACATAAGATGATATAGACTTATTCCAATTATGCCTTGCTATTTCTTTGCATTGATATTTGTTGGACCAATGTTGCATCTTTCCAGTTAGAAAAAGATATAACATTCCTTCTTACATTCAGATTCCTAAGGAAGGAAATATATGTTTTGTGAATGAAGTTTATGCCGACAAGTGTATATTTAGATGTCTTTGCATTCTTCTAAGAAAGATTCTGGTTTATTAGTATGTTATAAATGTTTCTTTGCTTCGCTACATTATCGATGAGTTCCATGCTTCAGGCTTATGGTACTGTACTAAGTTTTGTAGGGGGAAAGGAAAGTGCTTAACATGGAGGAAGAGAATGATGATAGCCAATGGAGCTGCTAAAGGTAAGTTTCAGTGCCTCTATGGCTGATCAATTGAAGATGACAAGACAATTTTGATACATGTTCCCCTTGCTATCCCACAGAAGCTGCATAACAGAATCAAAGCAACTGTTAATACTTCGTGACATAAAACCAAGAAACATGTTGGTAGGAGAAGGATTTGTAGCCAAGGTCTCATGATTCGGATCTATAGAATCAAGTGCTTGGAAATATCATATGTTAGCACTCAAATAGATGGCCATTTGAGTCTTCCTACTGATGTATACAGCTATGGTGTTATGCAACTGTTGATTGTTGCTGCTAGATGAAAAATATAGGAAGTTAATATTATCATTTGGTTGGGCAAGGAGAGTCAATATGAAATAGCATTCTATTTCAATATGATTCATTTCCTCTACCTGCAAAAATCTTAGTGATTGATGTTATAGGCATGGATGCAAATATTCCTTTATGCATATAGAGACACACTGAAATATTTTCGCGAACATTGTTTGAAGCCGTACATGCAGCTGTACCATTCATTGTAATGCTCAGGAAATCCGTGTTGCTGCCGAAAACAGCCATGGAATTTACCATAACAGCATTTATCTTGGGACAAGTCATAGGCTCTAGGGCTGAACGGCATAGGCTGAAAGCAGTTGCCAGTAAAAGAATATGATTATTACTGAAAACCCAACTCCCGTGAATGGTCAAGCTGGTTGATGGAGTTTGAGGTGGACACTGCAGTGAGATTGTTGATTGGAGCAAAGGTCCTCTGCAGATTGCTGGTCCCTCTTCAACAACCAGTGTATTTAGCTGATGCTTTGTATGCTTGATGTTGTAATGATATGTTTCATGAGGTCGCATTCGATCTGTATGTTCTTTATATCAGCATACAACATTGGGCAATTGAAAATAAGGGACGGGATGAGCATTGTTTCTTGTTTATGGACAGTTGATATATTCATGAAATTTGGGATAGTATTTTCTGTAGCAGAATACGCCAAAGGAGATTTTCTATTCAAGCTTTGATCTTAATGTGTACGTTTCTGTGTTTGACAATAGATTCTTTTTTCCTGTGATGCGCATTGCTGTTAATTGACAGAGCAGATGATTGTCACCTTCATGATGATATTGCTACTGAGAAATATAGCTCTGTTCAAGAATATATAGGCAATATACGGAGTAGGTGGAGCCTATAAAAATGGAAAAAAAGTTCGAGTGGAAAATGTTGAAAACCGTGAAAACAGAAGTGATTGCATTTACCTTTATTCTGTTCAAAATTGAGCAATTTTAACTTTGTCAAACTTTTAGTTTAATATTTCTCCATTGTTAGGAGAAAGTCTTGATTGACCTTGATCTTTAATGGAGCTTCGACTTGAGGGTAATTTCATAGTTAGAAGTGGAGAGGTAAAATTGAACTTTTTCTGCCGATAAAATTGGATAGGTGAAGTCACACATTTCACGATGGAGTTTCGTTAATGCAAGTGTAAAACGAAATGATTTATTAATGGTAAGAATATGAAAGGATCAAAAGTGTAACTACACATAAAATTAACTAATTTTAAATAGTAGATGGACAAATTTGAACCTTTTTTTCTTTAAAAAAGTGACAAATGAAAAGAAAAACTAAAGTTACCTCTGGTTGAATGTTCTGTTCAAATAAGCAACTAGAACATGTGGCATTGATTGAAAATTTGATAGTTTCATTCACTTTGTTTAGTTGGGTGGGTAGTAATTACACGTGGCAATAGATTGAAAACCAAACACTCAAGACTATATATACGTTGGATTTTGTTATCTTCAAGTTCTATTCATCTCTTTTCCCACTTTGGTTAAGAACACTCTGTATTCAAGACTCAGTAAACAGTAAATTCTTCTGCAGTTTGGGGGTATTTTTCTTTTCTACTTCACTTGAATTGTCTCATGCATGCATGTTTTTTATGGCCAAATATTGTGGATACAAACATTGTTTCTCATGTTTATATTGCATGCACAATATATGCTTTCTTTTGGTCCTGTCAATCATTTCTAATTCCTCTGCTTCTTCCTTTTTTCTCTTTAAAACTCACAGAAAGATGCAAATAGTAAAGGGTTCAAGGGGAGATAGCACTTGGGTAACCAACACCCCAGTAAGGCTGGAGGCTGACTCCCACAGTAAGCATATTTATTACTTCTACTATAGTAGAAGTATTTTCATACTAGCCTCTTTTATATGGCTTTTTGGTACTGTCCCTTCTTGTCTATATTTTCATTAATGTGGTTTAATGTGATGCTTATGCTTTTCTGAGTCGAGGGTCTATTGAAAACAACCTACAACCTCTCTATGGGGTAAGTGTCTACCCTCCTCAGATCCCACAGTGTGGGATAATATTGGGTATGTTGTTGTTGTATCCAAGGGTGTACCAGCAACAATCTCTCTACCTAGCAACAATCTCTCTACCTAACACAAGCAAAGGTAGGAGTAAGGTCTGCGGACATTCTACCCTCCCCAAACCTCACCGAGTATATTGTTGTTGTTGTTAGTAGCTACTAGTACTTAACTATGGACTTATATTATTCAATTCAAAGATTAGACATATCATCATAGTATACATGCAATACCACTATTACTGTTCACATTTATGAAGTTACAAATCATATGCATCGAATAAATTTCTGTTGAGTTGCAATATCCTTTCCTGGAAAATTCTTTACCATAAAATGATGAGTATTGAGCACAAAATGAGCGGTAAATTGATGAATTCAGCAATTCTTAAGTGACTGGATTATCTAAGGCCTAAAAATAATGTATATCATACTCTTGATTGGTTGTAGAGTTGTAGTCTCTAAATTCATGCATTTGGGCTTATTGTTGTATTATGGGATTTCATCTATATACTAAGGGGTCTTTTTTCCACAGATAATTATTCGCTTCGACCAAGGAAAAAAAAGGAGATATTTAGCTCGGGAGCAGGTGATTAATCTAATAAAATTTTTGTAGTTTTGGGATCACTCAGCTGAAAGCATTTTTTTTGGACAGATAAATATTCTCTTCGTCCAAGGAAAATAAACCAAAGGTTTAGCATGGGAGCAGGTAATGAATTCAATTGCACATTGTTAGTTGAAGAGTGGGACAAGTTTTGCACTATGGGGATAAATCAACTCGATTTATACGATTGCTCCCTTTTTATTAAAACTATATTTTGCTTTGATCAAAGAAAGGAAAGATTCAGACAAGGAAAGTTCAAGTTAAAATGCCTCCATATTTTTGAAAATTTGCAAAAAGTTTTATGCTTTTTACATACTTGTTACAAAGGTGAATTCTAGTGGACTATGCATATGTGTGGTCTGCTTTATGGCAGACTATAGGGATCAGGAAAAATTTGATTGAATTCAAGAAACGTTACATAGTTATAGTTGTGGTTATTTTACAACTCCTATTTTACCTAGGGGTAGACTGTCTACATCGCACCCCCTGGGGTATGGCCCTTCCCCTCGACCCTATTTTACCTATTGCGGGATGCTTTGTCCACGCAATACTACACTTAAATCTGTTTTAACTTCAACATCCAATTTTACATTTTGGGACAAAATACTTTAGGTGAAGGTCATGCATGCAGTACTTTATCTTCTGTCATGCACATAAAATGGATTCGTGGGAAGCATAAGAAGTCCTTTGTTAGTATAGAACACACAAAAGATATATTCATGGTTTTGTGATTTCTCAATAACCATGTCCCATTCATATTTACTTAATAAACCAAGTCAACTATTTTTGTGCTTGATAATTATCTCAAGATTGAGCTTGTTCCATGTGATATCTATAATTGTTTCTATTGGAGATTTAGAATTGATGCCACTTTCCAGAATATTACCAAATTATGTTTTAGCAGACGATGAAGAAAAAGACGAATACGGAGGCTTGAAATTTAACAAGACACTGGGGAAAAGAGCCGAAACTAAGAATTACAAGCCAAAAGTATTGCTTGAAGATAATCTTGTTAAGACCTTTAGCCCTGAGACACCGAAATGTGCTACCGAAAGAGTAAGAGAAGAGTTATTGGGAGATGAAGAAACTTTGGAAAGATCCTGTAAGCGAGCTTTGGGTTTTGATTCTGGGAATATTGAGAAAGATGATCTAGTTGCTGAAGCTGTTAATAGCCCTGTTTATGCGATGCAAACTGCTGATAGTTTCCCATGCAGTCAAACTTTTTCGGGGGATCCAAGCTCCTCAAAGAAGCTTGGTCCATCATCGGTTCCTTCCAAGAATTTCCAGGCAAAACTTTTCCCTTATTTCTTCACTGTCAATCCTGCAAATGTTGTTTCACTATAATCTATTCTGTTTCTGATCCTAAGAGTTCTACTAATTATCCGTTGCAGGTTTACCATAGAAGATATGAGAAGAATCAGAGACACAATAAATGCATAAAAGTTCAGCCATTCTTTCAGGGGCATAACAAGCCTCTCCAGGCAAAAGCTTGCCTTCTACTTCTTCAACTGTTATTACTACAAATGTTGTTTCACTGTCGCCTCCTTTGTTTCTAACCCCAGGTATGCTACTACTATTCATTGCAGGTGTACCACAGAAGATTTAAGAAGAAGAATCAGAGACATAACAAGTGCATAAAAGTTCGCCCATTCTTTCAAGAAAGCTGGAACAAGAAGCGGAAATCATCAATATGTACTATGAAGGGTAATGAAGACGGTGGTTTTCCGTGGTTATACAACTTCCTTGGATTCATAATATGTGTGGCATGCCATTTAACAAGCAATGATATTTTCCTTTTGATGTAATTTTTTATAGGTATAGAGGACAGCCAAACCAGCCTTTCAATTCTCAAGAAACCAAAGCTTCAAGTACCTCGCAGTGAAAGTAGAGCGATAGTGAAACATAGTAAGAATTCTCAAATACATCACACACAGCAAGATGCACTTGTCCCAATCAATGAAACACCTAGTTACACAGACAAAATGATCTTAAGAACAAAAGTAGTCCTTGATGAGGAGACAATACGAGAGTGGAAATTGCTGATGGAAAAACCGGAAGATGAAGGCTGTGAATCAGCCGAATCTGATAAGTGTAATAAAACGTGGGAAACAGAGAGGCAATTGTTCCGCGGACGGGTGGCATCATTTGTTTCTCGCATGCATCTTATCCAAGGTATCAGATTAAGCTTCTATTTTAAAATTCTATGATTCTTTTTTTATTAATCACGGTATCAAGATGTGATAATCCAATCCAATAAAAATTTGTTCAGCATAAATGAAGCCATAGCCTTTATTTTTTCCCAGAAATTTCAAGTCTAGAATTCAGAATCATCATCGGAAATTTTATGAACTGCACATGTCTGTAAAGTGGAGCTGCAGCATTGCCAGCAGATAACTCTAACATTATTAAAAATTCACTTTAGCAGGCCAAATTCAAGCAGAAAAACTGCTGCTAACTGTTTGTAAAGTGCAACTTGATGAAATGCTTGTCTCAAAACATCGCCAAAGCTAAACACTATCACCTAAGATGAAAACACTATACTCATTATTCATTAACGGCTCCACCTTTTGAAGTATCAAAATGCGAGCTTATGCATCACATGATATGGATACAAATTCAGATGTTTCAGGGCAGCGGCGGAACCAGAATTTTCACTAATGGGATTCAAAATATACTATTTATACATAACAATTATCTTTAACCTTAAGGGTGTGGATGAACCTCCTTATGCCCCCTAGCTCCGCCCATGTTACAGGGTAATTTCTGTTGGCGAGAGTCACACTATGGCTTTGATTGTAATCTTTTCTGACTTCTAGTGTTAACCTATAAAGAAAACATGATAAGAACATGGGAAATGGAAACTTTTAGATGTTAAAAAATGGTATTCACAACTGGAGTATTTCATATTATCCTAAAGAAGGTTTTCCACTTCTCTCTCATCATCATATAAAGAGAATGTGTAGTCGGTGTCAAAATTAGGTACAGGAAGACATAACTGGGTGCAGCTTATATATTTTACAGGTGATAGACAATTCTCACAGTGGAAAGGTTCAATTGTAGATTCTGTGGCTGGGGTATTTCTGGCTCAAAATGTGGCCGACAACTTGTCAAGGTAAATTAATTTTGTAGTTCACAATGAACTTTCCACAATGAATTCTTATTGTGTCCATTTTTCCACAAAAAAAAAGGAGAGAAAATCTGAATAGTATTCTCTTTAATTGTCTGTGCTGATGCATTTGCAGCTCTGCTTTCATGTCCCTTGCTGCTGAATATCCTTATAATTCAACCTCTGCTGAAAATGTTACAACGAAAGTAGAAAGTGGACTGATGTCAGAAAAAGCTACTGAAAATATTTTATCATGTCAATCCCATAATGCAAAAGCAAAGATCAAGCTGGAGAAATCATCAAAAGGAAGTGCTAATACTTTGAGACAGTGGCTAAACCGGATAAAAATATTGAATCGGTGGAAGAGGAAAAAAGAGGAGATAGGAGATCAACAAGCTGAACCAGTTTTAAGAAGGAAAAATGAAGACTTGAAAAGTGTAGCCATTAAATGGGATAACATACTGAAGTCATCTGCCTTTGTTAATCCCAAAGAGAGAAGTGATAACACCTTAGATACGGTAGATTGGCATGCAGTTCGTGCAGCAACAGTGGATGAGATATCGAGAGCTATCATGCTGAGGGGAATGGACAAAAAACTTGCACTAAGAATTAAGGTAAAACAATGTTGTAAACAGTCAGCATGCACTTCTTTTAAGGCATGAAACTAAAATGCTCACTTCATACAGAATTTTATCAACCGCCTGATGCTGGAACAAGGGAAAGTAGACCTAGAATGGCTACGTGAAGTTCAATCAGAAAAGGCAAAGTAATTTCTGCACCTTCTTTTATATGAAATCGACAAAACCTAGATAGGCAATGCCAGGGCGGAGCCACAAGCCTGTATACGGGTTCGGCAGAACCACTAGCTTTGGCTCAGAGTCTGTATTTTTGGTTAAAAAATTCATTTAATATTTATAAATAATTTATCCAGAATCCAGTAAACTGCCGTTTCTGAAATCTAGAACCCATAAACTCAAAATCCTAGCCCGGCCTCTGGGCAATGCAGAAGTTTATTGAGCTTTGAAAGTGTACTTCAAGAAGTTGATGATAGAGCTCTGTTTGTTACAGAGAATACTTTCTGAGCATTTATGGTTTGGGACTGAAAAGTGTAGAATGCATAAGATTGCTCGCTCTCCAGCACCAAGCCTTCCCTGTAAGTTTATATTATAAATGTGTGCAAACACCTGTTAATGTGGGTCTGAAAGCTTTTTATCATTAACCCCCTTTATTATTTGATAAGGTTGATACGAATGTAGGACGAGTACTCGTGCGGCTGGGTTGGGTACCTATTCAACCACTTCCAAGAGGACAAGAGATGCATCTTTTAAAAATGTAAGAATTTGGATTTAGCAATTGGAGCTGTCAAAGTTTCATATTGTAAGTTTTTCTCCTTGTTCCTGATATGTCATGCTTTAGGTACCCGAATGTGAAAGATGTTCACAAGTATCTCTGGCCACGGTTATGCACACTTGATTATTTAACATTGTAAGGATCGACATGCAAAAAGCTCATCTTTAGACATAAAAATATAAAATGGCTGATTTATTCCAGCAGAAATATTAGTGAAAATCATTCTGTATTCCTTTGTGATTGCTTGCAGGTATGAATTTCATCATCAGATGATTACCTTCGGAAAGGTTAACTGTCATTAATCTTAAATTATGGTTTTCTATTTTCTTTAACGTATAGGACTTTGGGACTGTAATCTGGCTCCTTACAGGTATTCTGTACAAAATCAAGCCCAAATTGTAATGCATGTCCGATGAAAGCAGAGTGTAAACACTTTGCAAGTGCTTTTACAAGGTTTGCTCTTTCCGCATTGCCTTGATTATTAACCATACATTATATCTCCCTATCATTGATGCTTCTAAATATTTTTTGAACATCAATTGCAGTGCAAGAGTCTGCCTGCCGGAACCAGGGGAAAGGAGCTTTGAGAATACAGATACTGCTTTAGCACCTGTAGAAAGTGTGGCCGACGGTACTTCTGTTCTCAATCAAACAGCAGTTGTTCCTTTGTTAGGGGAAGCCTCAAGTTCAGAACATTTGATTGGAGATCACGGGAATGAGCTTATTACCTATCCAGCACTTGAATGTATTGGAGAAACAGAAATTGAAGATCAATACACCGATGACATACCTAGAATTACATTTGATGGCAAGGCATTCATGGAAAATATATCACGTTACATAGATGAGACTGATCTCTCGATAAGGGACACTGATTTGTCTAAGGCTTTGGTCATTGCCTCTCAAGAAGCTGCATCTATCCCTTTGCCTAAATGGAAGAATACAAGTCGGTTAAGGACGGAGCACCAAGTGTAAGTATGTAATAAGTTTTCATTAATTTTCGCCATTTGATTTACCTTACTTGGGAAAGCTATGTGACACTGTAAGCAAAATATGTAATGAAGAGGATGTGGTTTCCAGAATTCTACGCAAATGCTGAAGTGTTTAACTAAGATTCTCGTTAACTTTTTTTTCTATGTGCTGCAGCTATGAGCTTCCAGATTCACATCCACTTTTAGAAGGGGTAAGTTAAGTTACCGACACGAAAGAACGATTGTAAGCATGCCTTGTGATTTGGTTAAGTTTTGACTAAATTCAGCATTTAAATGCAGCTAGAGAAACGAGAACCAGAAGACCCCTGCCCATATCTACTAGCAATAAGGATACCAGGTCATTGCTTCCTGAAAAGTTATGATATTGGGGATTACGTGAATGAACTAAGTTTCCATAAAATTGTAAGAAATGAGGTCTATGCAGGAAAAGCACATTGACCTCACACTTATAATTCAAGAACCCTATAGTTAATAGCACGTGATCTACTTTGGTACAGGAAATGCCGCTTCTGCAGAACCTCCAAAAGAGAAGTGTGAATCCTGTAATTCCAATGAAACTCTAAACAAAGTCGAGAAGTGTGGATCCTGCAATTCCACTGAAACTCAAAACAAGGTCGCTGTGTTAAATAACGAACCAGGAGACAATATCGAGACAGTTCGTGGGACACTTCTGGTGAGATAAACTTAGCACTTAATTATTACTATCCCCACGGTTTGGCATTTATTTATCTATTAAAACGTAACTCATAAGACCATCTTCAGATTCCGTGTCGAACAGCAAACAGAGGAAGATTTCCGCTCAACGGGACATACTTCCAAGTAAATGAGGTGAACTTTCCCCCTCTCCTTCTTAATCTCATGATAATATAGAGTCATATTGTGGTAAATAATATGCTCATTCATGCAACCACTACCATACATGTCACATTTAAGTTGATTTCATCGTGAAATAATAAAGTGATTGGCGCAGGTTTTTGCAGATGAAGAATCCACTAAAGAGCCAATTGATGTTCCGAGGGCATGGATATGGAATTTGCGGAGAAGGACCCTATATTGCGGCACCTCCATTAGAGCAATATTTAGAGGTAGAGACACAAGAGCTGTTAAATCGTAAAAAATGGCATCCATACATTGGAAACTTAGTCTTACAAAATGTCTTATGTGAAATCAGGGATGTCAACAGAACAAGTACAAAATTGCTTTTGGAGAGGTATGAAGTGATTTCTTTCATAAATAAACAATGTCTTTTTCATTATTCAACATTCGTACACGAACAAGGTCAGAACTAATGGTACCTATGTATCTAAACATGATCGTGTGTAAAATCTATGTAAATCAATGTTATGTTCCTTCATACAACCTAAAAAGATATATATATATATTTCACTGAGTTTTCTTAGTGTTGCAGGATATGTATGTCTGAGAGGATTTAACCGAAAAACACGAAAACCTGGACCTCTTCCCCTTGACCTTCATCGTCCAATAAGCAAAGCAGGAAAATTGAAGGGTGAAGGAAAAAGGTCTTCAGGAGAATAAAATTGTGTGACAACACCATCTTATTAAACATTGTGCTTTTGTCTAGACTGTTGGAACAAACCATTCTTTGAAAATATGATCACCACGTTTTTTGTTTCAAATCCATCTTTCAGATATAACAACAATGGATTGGACAATGATGTATGAATGATATGTTTACAGTAATGCCCCCTACCCAGAGTCCTATCTTTACCCAACATTTGACCACAATACCAAATCCATCTTGTTTCCTATTCATTTGCATGTACTGACTGAATGGTTATCTATGTATATATATTTTTTGTTTAGTCATATATATAGTATCAGGAACCTATTAGCTTGATTAATGAAGGTAAAGAGGTTTGTATCAACTTCTGCATTCTTAGCTCACCCAACCTCTTCTCTTGGTTATGAATGACTTACTGATGCCTAACGGTCAAATAAAGTTCACAAGCTTACCTCTTCGCAACTCAAAAAATAAAAACAAAAAGAAAAAGAAATGATTTCGAAAAATAGAAAAGAAGAAGTAAAACATTAAATTAAGAAATAGAAAAATGCTTTATAAGAAAAGAGAAGAAAGAAAAGAAAATATATATTTGAAAGATATTTCAGCTTTATGTTAGCATGAGTAACAAGTTGATTTAGACTCCACAACCTTTTCGTCTACCCCTCTCTTGGACCCAAGAGTTAGATTCGTGCGGGGCATTACATTAATCTTGTTAGGAACGAAATAATCAGGTGTCATGCGAAAACTAATAAAGCATATCTTTTGTTGGAAAATATTAGATGGTTATGGAGAATAAAAGTTTAGCTTGAGGCGTGTCAAGGACACTGTCCTTAAGGATATTTCGTCTATACCGTGATAAATAAAATTAGGCGTATCCCCCAGGATTCAACAAGCTCTTCTAATATAAACTAGGAGCAGAAACAACAAAATTTAACAAAGATAACCCAACAAGATAATAGAAAAGTTTTACTTTGTTTTTTCACTACCTTAGAATATGAAAACACAAAACTATATATAGTCCAAAAACTAATGGATATCTGATTTTCAAGAATAAAATATTGCATATTGAAGTTAATGACAAAAACGTTTTCAAAGTTAAGAAACATACGTTACATGACTTTAAATGCATTAAGCTAAAAACGTTATCAAACAACAAATTTCTTATCATCAAAAGTCAAAGTATTTTTGATAGCCATAATGATAGCCATTTAAGGTTAGTTAAATTATTATATTCAAAATTAACTAATTTTCAGTTACAGATATATTTAAAATATTATTATAATAAAGGCTCATTAACATAATATCAAAAGAATGAACCTAGACATCAATTTGAATATTTTTTTTTGAGTTATCAAATAATTTTTCCAATACCTTTAACGACGATAAATCAGATAATAAAAGAGAAATATATCAAAAATTAACGTATGCGAAGATGAGCAATCCACTATATAAAAGAGAGTACAAAATATCGAGAGAATATCCTTAGAAAGAGGCACACACAAGTGGTAGGCTAACACATGCGTTCAAATTCTCCACCTAAATAAGCTCTCAAACCTTTTACGGCTACATTATAGATACTACTAAATGAGAAAGAATAATCCTCAATTTATACAAGTTCAAAAGAATAATCCTCAATTTATACAAGTTCAAACTACTAAATGAGAAGGAAAGATTCTCAATTTATAGAAGTCCAAACCTTCTTTCATTCTTTCCCGATGCCGTTTAGATCTTACACCATTTGACTCACATTCTCTTTCATGCGGATATATATTTTTAAAAAATTCAATACTATTTGATTCCATTACCCTATTAACATGAATGCGAGGAATTTATGCTTTATAAGAAGTCGATGTGCCTTGCGATTTTTAGCATACATTCAATTATCTTTTGTCTTATTTTCACCTATTTGGGTTTAGGAATCTGCTCTTTTGCCCCACACTTTGAAGTAACTCGACTTGGGATTTCTTCCTTTCCATTTCTCATATAGAATAAAGTGAGTTTTACTATGAGAGATTTGATATAATATTCGATTAGATGTAAGGATAGCTTTCCCCCACAGCTTCTGGGGTAAACCGAACTTCTCAACAAAACATTCATCATTTTCTTGAATACTCAATTCTTTCTTTCTGCAATTTCATTGGATCGGGGCGTGTAAGGGAAGTTTTTGTTGAAGAATAATGCCATATTCTAAATATGTTTGTTCAAAAGAAGATTCGTATTCACCGCCCCTATTGCTTCATATCATTTTAATTTTCTTTTTAAATTGCGTTTCAATTTCATTTTTGTATTGCTTGAATGCATCTATGCTTCATCTTTGCTACTAAGTAAGTAATCATAGCTATATCAAGTGTTATCATCAATAAAATTAATGCAATACGTCTTTCCTCCGTGAGATGGTATTGACTTCATATCACAAATATATGTATTTATTAAGTGTAGAAGTTCAGAATTCCCTTCAATTGACTTGTAAGAATGTTTAGCGTACTTAGATTCTACATATATTTGATATTTTTTATTGCATTCAAACTTAGGCAATACTTTCAAATTAATCATTATGCACAAAATTTTATAACTAACATGTCCCAAATGTATATGGCACATATCATTTGACTCAAGTAAGTAAGAAAAAGCAAAAAAATTATTATTGTCAATGACCATTACACTTAGTTTGAAAATGCTCTCAGTAAGCTAATCTTTTCCTATAAACATCTCATTCTTACTTATAACAACTTTGTCAAATACAAAAATATATTTAAACCTGTTTTTGACAAGAAGTGCGTTAGAGACCAAATTCTTCTTCATTTCAAGATCATAAAGAACAGTGATCAGAGTCACTACCTTGCTAGAAATCATCTTTAAAAAAAAATTCCACTTCCTTCAGTCTTGGCCGTTGTAGAATTTTCCACAAAAAGCGTCTTTTCGGGTGCAACGATACCATAGGAAGCAAACACTTCTATAATAGCACAAACATATGAGTGGCTCCATCAATCCACCATTCCTTGGGATTTCCTACCATATTCAAAAAGCATAGCATACAAGTCATCAATCTCCTTGTTCTTTTCAACCATATTTGCTTGATCCTTTTTTTGTTCTTCTTGGGAGCACAACAATCTACAAACTTGTATCCAGCTTTCCCGCAGTTGTAGCAATTTTCTTTGAACCTCTTCTTGTTTGGGTTGTTTTTTTGCTCCAGAAGGCTTCTTCCTTTTTTTATTATCTTGTGAAGCATCTTCAACAATATTTGCTCCCATAATTGTTGAGTTTTCACGAATCTTCTTTTATACAGCCTTGTTGTCCTCTTCAATCCACTATCGAACAATGAGATCTTCGAGCAACATCTTCTTGCATTTGTGTTTTAAGTAATTTTTGAAGTCCTTCGATAAACGAGGGAACTTCTCAATCAATGCCTCAACTTGAAACTCTTCTTTTATGACCAAACCTTAAATAAAAAATATATTAGCAATAATATAATTAATACTTTCAATAAAAGTATTAGTTTAGGTTATACCTTCAGCAAGGAGATCACGGATAATCACTTGTAATTTTTGCACTTGGATAATAAAAGACTTGCTATATACCATTTTATAGTCCAAAAATTTGCGGCTACAAACTTCTTCAACCCAACATCTTCAGTTTTATATTTCTTTTCAAGCGCAGTTCACAGTTCTCTTGACGTCTCCACATTACTATAGATGTTATACAAATCATCTTCCATGTCCTAAGAATATAATTCATGCATAAAAGATCAGAGTGCTTCCAAGCATCAGTTACAAGTAGACGTTTATTATTGTGTCTTCTTTCTAGCAAAATTATGACGTCTTTCTTAATAAACCTCTTTAGGATTAGGGTAGTCAAATAGAAAAATATCTTTCGCTGCCAGCACTTAAAATCAATGCCGAATATTTTTTTGGGCTTTTGTACTGGTGCCAACGCCAGTATAGGTGTTGTTCGGCTTGTCGATGCATTGGCAGTCACCATAGGAATATATTGATTGTTGTTCTCATTTGTCATTTCTGTAAAACAAACTAACGTAAACGAATTTAATATATGGTGAAGTTTTTATATTTTCAAGTTGAATGAAATTGGAATAGAAAATTACGTAGATTTTAGTCTCCCACGGAGTAAAAAATTATTAGAATTTTAATCTTCAAAGAAAAGATAATAGACAAAACAGAATAACATTAAAACTTAAAAGACAAAGTATAAAATTATGAAGGTTTTAATTTCCAAAACTCGGAGTAGAAAATCATATAGGTTTTAGTCTCCAAACAGTAGAAAACCACAAAGGTTTTAGTCTCCAGAACAATATATAAAATAGAAATACATGTATTGGTCAAAATATGACCACCACGACCAGGTTGCCCAACACCCCGCCTCAGTAACTGGGCAGTGAAAGTCAATAGAGCCCACTCCATTTCTCTTTTGTGACATCCGACGAATCGAAAAGAGTAACACCTAAAAACACGACCATGACACATTAGCGACAAGAAAGCGTCGAGTCAAGCAAAGGGTAAAGGGGTTTCGACTATATATAGCCAGAAAGAGCTCTCGATAGGGGGGATTCTTCATTCTTTCAAGAAAAAGAAGACAAAAAGCTCCTTTCTTGTATCCTAGAAAACGGGGAAATAACCTCGAAGAATACATGTAAATTTACTTTCTCATCAATGATGAAAAAGACAAAGCTGAGTCTTAATAAGACCAATCATGCCTCTTTCATCTCATATGCAATCATTATCTTTAACGTTTCGATCCGGAATTAATTATATTTGGCTAAGATTTACTCCTTCATCTTTGGTTGATTTGTACATGAAGGTTTTCATATCTTTTGAGTCAAACAATTTGGCGCCGTCTGTGGGGATTTCTTAGTGAGAATTTCCTAGTTTCTCCCAGATCGAAACCAAGAAGCACAGTCACTCATCAAAAGGAGCGCAGAAGAAAAACCCAACCCATGCAAGACATGAGAGCAGCACAGAAGAGGAAGAAGAGCCAAGCAAGATCCCCGGGCTCGAAAATCCCCACCCCATCAATCGTCGATATACTAAACAAATCGAACGATGTTACCGACCTACATTGCCACATTGGACCACTGGGCGGGAGCGAAGAAAACTTGTCCTCACCTCCCACTCTTTATCCAGGCAAGCACATAAGACTCGCGTGGATGAACGTACACAGGAACATCTCGATTGAAGGACAAAAGTTGCTTCAACACAGCTGAAATATCTCCTGCCGGCAATATCTCCGAGCT